ATATATATATGTATATATATAATAATATAGGTCTTCTTAATAAAAATGCAAAGATTTTATTCTTGGGTTTAGATAATGCAGGAAAGACAACTTTGCTGCATATGTTAAAAAATGATCGCCTGGCAACTTTACAACCTACATTACATCCTAGTATGTGAATGTTATCCGATATTTCAAATTTTGAGTTATCTAAATGTATAATGATAATAATTTTGTTCCTTTATCAATTATTAGCTTCAGAGGAATTATCAGTAGGAAATGTTCGTTTCACAACTTTTGATCTTGGTGGACATCATCAAGGTAATTGAGAATTTAAATGTTATATTGTTACATTATTTTTGCACATTTATTTTCTCACATATTATTTTATACATCAAATACTAAATTAGATTTTTTACTTTTTTATAAATATTAGCTCGGCGTCTTTGGAAAGATTATTTCCCAGAAGTTTCTGGAATTGTTTTCATGGTTGATGCTCAAGATCGTGAACGATTTACAGAATGCAAAACTGAATTAGATGTATATAATCATAATAGTAATACATAATAATCATAAGCATAATTATTGTGACGATGATGATAGAATTATTTTTTAAAGATATTTGGATTTTTTTTTTTTTGATTTGTAATATATATATGTGTGTGTATGTGAATATAGGCACTTTTATCCATTGAAGAACTTACTTCAGTACCTTTCCTAATTCTTGGAAATAAAATTGATGCACCTGGGGCTGTATCTGAAGAAGAATTACGACATGCTCTTGGATTATATCAAACTACTGGAAAGGTTAATTTATAAATAATTCCACATATTAATAATGTTTATACATAATAATTTTCATTTATTATTAAATGTTTTAATTCAATTATTATTTTGTAATTTGTTTAATTGTTTAGGGCAAGGTTCCATTGAAAGAAATTCGCCCTATTGAAGTTTTTATGTGTTCAGTTGTTATGAGGCAAGGTTATGGTGAAGGTAAATTTTCTTAATAAAATTTAATTCATAATATCAATTAAATATAATGTTAATATATAATATTAATTGTTTTTATATTTTCAGGTTTTCGTTGGTTATCTCAATACGTATAATAGTACTAGAGATGTT